CTTACCATAGCTCATGCCAATAGAGCATGACATTTTTTTAGCTTCATAGGTTCGATTGGGAAGAACATTATCCTCCGGAAGCATCTCTTGAAGTAGGGCTAACAACCCTGTGAAACTTTTATCCGACCATCCATTATCCGCCTTTAAGTTGTACAACTTTAATACCGCGGACAATCTTGTGAAAGTAGTGCAACCTTTATACAACGGTTTCTCTGCATCGCTTACCAACCTCTCAAACATCTTGGGACAATCTTGAAGATCTTCTTCAAGTTCTTCTGCAATCTCTTCGACTCGATCACAATCATATGTATCCCTGCCATTGTCCTTTGAAGCACAAGTCGTATTATTCCGTGGTTCAACATTCTCGTTACTTATCTCACCATGTAATGTCCAACATGTGTAACTTCGACCAATTCCATGTCTCATTAAATGAGATTCCAATTGAACAACGTCAATTTGACGCCCATAACAGCAACCTAAGCAAGGACATGCAATCCTACTGGGGTCTTTGGCGTGTTCAACAGTAAACTTAACGAATTTCGATACCCCATTCTCGTACTCTTTTGACAATCGATTAACATACATCCATTTTTTATCCATACTAATTGAGTAGTCTAAACTAAACTATGAAAGTTAAACAAAAACAGAGAATACCTGTAAAGAAATCACTAACTTCTAAGAAAGCTACACAGTAGGATGCTTGGAAACGATCACAACCTTGCTCTTCACAGGTAACCCCTATAACAGAAAAAATTAATAACATCATCAGCATTAAATAATTCTTGGAAACGATCAAAATTAACAGACATAAATAATTCATTTACTTTCATCAACAACATCAACATCATTAACATCAACAACAATATTATCGTTACTTAATTCAAGTTTCCATCCACAGATACCATTAACAAATATACGAAATTAACAAATATACGAAATTAACAAATATATGAAATTATTCGAGTAATTTAATTTTTCAACTAATAATGGTATAAGAAATTATTTTTATGCCGCAAACATATAACTTCCAAAGAAAATATTATATAAAAAAATACTCTTATTTTTCTTGGGATTATAAAAAAGAATAATAAGTATATCAAAATGAAATGATTTTTTTTTTACAAAATGACATAAAGGAAGAATAATCAAATTTAAAACACATAAATCAACAATATTTAATCTTTTTGGTGTAAAAGAATGCACGACAAATCCACCTAAAATCATCCCATCAAAATGATCTTATTCTTGAAAATAAAATGAAGAATATATGTTTCAAAATTGAAGACAATAAGAACAATGAAAATATACATTAACTCACAAATGTATTGTTGTGAGTCTTTACAACGATTCATTCTTCTTCTTCTTCACAAATTTAAAACACATAAAATGAAGAATACAAAGATTTTTAATTGATAGTTACTAAAGAATTAGAAAAACACATCCCTCCCATGGTTCATATCCATATATCGATCAATTCCTTTCTTAAAAAGCTCTTGATTCCTTTCTCCAAATCAAAGCTCACTTTCATTATTTTGATTACAAGGAAACCTAAAAGTTCATCTAAAACAAATCACTGTTATCGTTGTATTATTTAATGTAGCTACAGTGGTATAAGAATCACATTCCATTTGCAAGAAATAGAAAGAATCACATTCCATTTGCAAGAATCATATTCTACATCATCAAACTCCAATAATGCATTCAACTATCAGAATAATAAAAATGAAAAATGAAAAACTTCAAATACCTCAAAAATGGTGGAAATGCGCTGGTGGTGGAAATGAACGGACGGATGACAGAGACGACCGTCAAAAATGGACGGACGGTGGTGGAAATGAAACGACGACGGATGAGAGTTAGGGAAACGGCGAAACGAGGCACGGACGGAAGCACATACGGAAGGACAGAAGGAAAGTGTCGATGGAGTGAATAGGGTTCATTTTCGCGTCTGGGAAAGAAGAAGACGAATACTGCTATGTTTCTGTGCTTTAACTGAGAATTTTAAAATCTATTCTACTTAAACCTATAGCAGCGCTTTTGCATGGCCTTTAGCAGCGCTTTTATAAAGCGCTGCTATAGGTTTGCCTTATACAGGGCCTTTAGCAGCGTTTCTAAAAGCGCTTTCTTAGACCCAGGCTATAGCAGCGCTTTTCTTGAAAGTGCTTTCTTAGAGCCATTTTTTAGTAGCGTTTTTTAAAAGCGCTGTCTTAGGCCCCCCCTTTAGCAGCGCTTTTTTAAAGCGCTGTCTTTGACCCCCCCCTTTAGCAGCGCTTTTTTAGAAAGCGCTGTCGGAGGTATGCAATTTTTTTCTTTTTTTTAAGACTCTGAAAAAGCGCTGTCTTTTAATGCGCTGCTAAAAGTCATTTCTGTTGTAGTGTATGTGTATATGTTATATTGAAATATATAATTATATGCAATGTTATTATGATAATATTCCTCACCCTTCTGCTGTTTTATGGTGCCCTTGAGGAATTGCAGATTAGGTATGCTGGTGATCCCTTTTTGTGAAGCGTGTCTTCATTGTTTTGGTCAGATGGCTCTGATATGTAACACCGGGTAGCTAGGAAGCCTTTGTCTCTTTTTGGTGATACATTTGTATATGTATTTTTGGTGATGCATGTTTGTGTAAACATGAATGATGTTGATGACTTATATTGGACGATGTGAATATGTATATATGTATATACATGCTGGTTGTGATTCAATGTTTAGATTTCTGCTTTCATTCTAAATATTGAGATGTGGGTGTAAGGACTAAGTTCCTACGTTGCAAAAGTTACCCCACTGTTGCATATCTTCTTAAGCAGATGTTGTATGTTTTAATTTCATGGATAATGTGACATACCTCTTTTATACCATGTTTTAAATATACTCTGATAAATGAATTTTTATATGTGCCTAAATGATTTATTTGATTATTTGGGGTATAGAAAGTGGGGTGTTACACGACCCTAAGAAAGCATATAGTTTGTTAGAAAAAGAATATGGGATAAGTACTTGTTTTGACCAGATAGTAATTTTCTCACTTGGCAAATATCACTATTTCTTTCAACAGTAAAATGATGTTCAAAGTCTTAAATAGACACAAATATATTTTGGGAGATTTTCGAGTTTGATCCCTTAACTATTAATAGAAACTTGTTTTGTTTACCAAATTTCATAGTCAACACACGTGTAAATGTAATCATGCGAAACATCTCAATGATGAGACTAACATTTAATGTGCATGTTCCAAAGCTCACTCACTCTGGTTTTCTAAATGCTTTTCACTTCTGCAAACAAAAGACCCGTTATGAAGATCTCGCTCTAAGGCGATGCCGACCTAGTATTTTGAAAATTTTCCCATTTCTGCACTATGACAAGCATTTGGGGCAACTATTCTGAGTCGACTATATACCCAATAACAATGAGGCTCATTCACCAGTCTAAAACCATAAGGTGTTAATGATACAATGCATCTGCTACCTTGATATCATCTAACGATTTCTCACATTTCACATTGAAAAGCAAGGAAGATCTCTAACTGACCCTCGTATATAAGAGATCCCACGCGAGCCTAAAATATATACTAACCATAACTTACTCTACTCTTTTGTTGCTCATTAATTAATTTAGACATTAAAGTGTTTGCACTCTATCATATAAGAAACTTAATCCACTTCACAAATATTCAATTTCATATATTTTCGCTTCCTTCACGAAACATTAATTTTATTATTGATTTTTTTTATTTATCTTTTTTAATACTATCTCAACATTTATATACTCAATTTTAAAAATATAGCTTTTAGAAGTTTTAATTTGATAATTTTTTGTGTGGTCCTTTTTCAATTAAACTGTGTTAGGAAAAAAAATTATATATTGTCTTCTTCAAAAGTAAATTAAAAGAAGCAAAATTCTATATATTGTTACAACTTTTGCAAACAAAACACCATTTTAAAATAAAAATAAATTATAATGATACATTTTTTTTGGAAAATTAAAGATAACTCAAAATAAATTATAGTAATAATCTAAAAGATAGACAATTCAATTTAAATTTAAAAGTCAACGCATATTTAAAAAAATTAAGAAACCTTGTTAATTTCTAAAATTAAATTAAAGAGAATTTTTTTTTATAAATAGACAAAATGTTAGTATACAAATGAAAACAAATTAGAAGCAAAAGGGAAATTATGTGTGAGTGGAGTTGACATTGAAACCAATCCTTGCCGTCGAGTTAGAGAGTCTAGAATCAGCGCCCCCACTAACGTAAAATAGACATATTCTCTTTCGTTTTCCGACTCGCCATTCCCACACTTTATCTCTCTCTCACCTTCTGCATCCACTACTTCAAAAGCCAAGTCATTCCAACCGCGTCTCGCCACAAACACTTTTTTCAAACTCAAAACACCAAATTAATTAGTATAAAAGTCTAATTAATATCATCTCCGTAGATAGTTATGCAGAAATATCAAATATAAAATTAAAAATTCAAATATGCAATATTTTATTTATTTATAATTGAATTAATATAATTTTAAAGTGGCTTCTGAGATCTTTATCAGCATTTCCTAATTTTAATTAATTTTAATGAAAACACCAACAACATCTTTTGGTGGCCACTAATTACCTTTTCTTTTTCATTTCACACTGATAAAAAAATTAAGTCTAACCAAACACACTTTTTAAATTTATTTTTATTATTTTAATTAAAAACCATTCCATAAATTTGTGTTTCTTTCTTCTACCTATCTCTCAGCTATTACATAATGACAGAGCCTAATCTATCTATCTAAAATTTTACTTTCCTCTCCTCTCTCTTTCTATATAAATTCAGTTTCGTAATTTTGTTCGTTCAATCTACACTTGTCCATTTTATTAACGCGTGTCAAACAATAGCATAGCATAAAATATTTCTCAGTTCTTTTCATTTATGATTTTATGTACTGAAATTCGAATTGAAGGGTAAAAACGAGAAAATCATTTAGACTGATCGGTGTTTGATTATTGTTTGATCAATGAATGATATTCCGAAGCACGAGAGGCGTTGGGCGTCAGATACTGTTCCCGGAAAAGTAACTGTCAGCGCCGGGACATCGCCGGGGACTGAGTCTAGCTATGCCTCCGATGAGTTTGTGGAGGTTACTATCGATCTTCGAGACGATGACACGATCGTTCTTCGAAGTGTTGAGCCAGCTGGTCTTAATGTTAATGTTGATGATAGTGTTGCCGGAAGCGGTTACGATACTCCGGCATCTGTTCCGAGGTCTCCGTCGATCCGGAGAAACTCTTCGAGAGGATTCCGGCATTTCTCGCAGGAGCTGAAAGCCGAGGCCGTTGCCAAGGCGAAGCAATTCTCGCAGGAGCTTCGGCGATTCTCTTGGAGTCACGGTCATGCTTCGCGTGCTCTTTCGTCTTCCGGTGGTCATACCGGAACAAGCGGTGCTGGAGTTGGTGGTTTTGAAACGGCGTTGGCTGCTAGAGCTCTGAGGAAGCAACGCGCGCAGCTTGATCGCACTCGCACGGGTGCTCATAAAGCACTCCGTAGTTTGAAATTCATCAGCAGTAAATCCAACGGTTTAGATGCGTGGAACGAAGTGCAGAAGAATTTCGATAAACTTGCTAAAGACGGTTTTCTCCATCGCGTCGATTTCGGTCAATGCATAGGTCAATCTATTTTCTGAACACTCCATTCACAATCTTGCATTGTTCGTTTAAACCGTTTAAGTTTTCTCTCTGTTTCATATTTGAATGCATTATAGTTTAGTCAATTTTATATCCTAAAAATTACTTAGATCTTGCTTAGTGCTTTTTCTGATGATTCATTTTTGCTTGAAATACTAATAGTTTTTTTTCCTCTCTTTTGAAAGGTATGAAAGATTCCAAGGAATTTGCTCTGGAACTCTTTGATGCTTTAGGTCGTAAACAAAGGTTGAAGGCTGATAAGATAAACAGGGAAGAACTTGTGGAGTTCTGGACGCAAATTACTAATCAAAGTTTTGATTCCCGGCTCCAGATCTTCTTTGACATGTAATCTTTCAATGCTTATTGTTTATTGTTATAGTTCTATTTAATTAGTGATTAATAATCTCGGATGGTTACCTTTAAAACTCGCACTGGCACTATCCAATGTCAAATTAAACACCTCATTATTAAATGTCACCGTATATTTTATTTTAATATTTTAATGTCACTTTGAAGCTTTCTTAGCTTGTAATTCAATTATTATTATTGTAGAATTAGTAGTAATCATTAAGTGCCTTAATATTTTAATTTTCATATAATATCTTAATTGTCTTCACAGGGTGGACAAAAACGAAGATGGAAGAATCACCGAAGAAGAAGTAAAAGAGGTACAGAAGATTTTTATATTCAACTAACATATTTGTTTACTATTGTATATTTGTGTTTGAACAATCAACTTTAATGTTTCTTTAGAGTGACATTTTCTTCATATTATGTACGTGAAACGTTGCATCCATGCTTTTAATTAATCAGCATTAGGATGTCGTGGAGAAATTTAAGTCATAGGATTATTAAAAATAATTACTTCAAAATCCAGTAATTATGTATTATTGAGTTCACACTAGACATTAATTTTCCGTGTTCTAAAGCATAATATTAGTTGGTAGTAGTAGATATTCAAGAGTCATGTCTTACTTTTTTCGGTTTAGGTCATAGAGATGGAGCTTTCATTTCTCTGTTTTTACCAAATTCTTGGAATTCATAGTGAAGACGTTTTCAGAGTGGAGTTGGTGGGGGTGCGGTCGTCATTTTATGTTAAAAGCATTTCTTTTGTCACAAGATAGACATTTTCTTAACCACATAATATTTTGTTAATTTATTTATTTATTAATTACATAGTTCATTATCCAATTCTTGCTGCATTTCTTTCCTTCCAGGTCATCATGTTAAGCGCTTCTGCAAATAAGTTATCTAGACTCCAAGAGCAGGCTGAAGAATATGCAGCTCTGATCATGGAAGAGTTAGACCCTGAAAGACTTGGCTACATTGAGGTATCAGCATAAATTTTATAAAAAAATTAAGGTGGTATTTTTTAAATAAGTTTTAAATAACACCTGTTAATGTTAAAACATGTTAATATTTTTTATAAAAAATTATACTAATAGTTAAGAGTTTAATAAAAAAATATTTAATATTTAATTGACATTGTAAAAAATAAGAAAAATAAAAAATTTGACTAAAAAGTTTATCAACATGACATAGAAAATGAGACATTGACTAAGAAAAAGGGAGTAGTAAATATAAATAAGCAAAAAAAAAAAAAACAATGGTGTTCAAAATAATTATTTGAATTTGACTCCTTCGTAACAATGGATACTGGGATACTAGTACAATGGTAATGTTACATTATGATGATAAAATATATCAACATGTATAACAAACGGTATAAAGTGAATAAAATTTCAATGGTTGAATTTCAATGAACGTCGTTTTTAATATCAACCTTATGGTAGAAGAATCAAATATGATTTTTTTAGTATGTCCACGTGAATAATTAATAAATAATTAATCATTATAATAATTGTATGTTTCTGGAATACGTTGATGATGTTGGTTGATTTTAAAAGAAATGGTGAATATTCTTTTCCGTGGTAATCTAAAGTTTAGTTAAAGATAAAACAAAGTTTGATAAAAATTATGTTACCAAATTTGAAATTTTTACTTGCTAAGGCCTCCTAATTTTGCAATCCTATTTTGACTTACGTACATTCAGTCATTGTTGGACTACGACCCTTTCTTTAGTCCACAGTTGGGCCAAATTGAGTAATTGATCCAATCATACAACATTTCCATTGTAGTTCAACCGTTTAGAAAAAGAAGAGAGAAAGAAATGGGGCATATTTGATAAATTATTCCAAACTAGCAAGCAGTTATAAGTTAAACAAATAAATTGATTGATGTCCTTGTATAAAAAAAAAGTTTGAAATTCCATTAACATGGCCACGTTATTTGTAACTACTACATATACTTTATTATTTCTTTATCTTTTGCTTTGTCAACAAATTTAACATAAATTCAAATAGCTAGCTAGGACGACTTTGTTACTATGTACCTAATATGATTAAGCTGATACTTCTAATTATTCAGTTCCTTGAGTAAGCAAGTAGATGCTGATCAATATAAGTATTTATTAGGGACCTTCTTATATCTTTGACCGATGGAACATTTTTAGAAGATATTTGTCACAATTTTTAAAGAGAACTGGTTAGTACTGGTTTTTCAGTGTTCACTAAGCTTCAAAGCTAAAAGTAAAGAGTAGTGCTGTTCACTGAACTTCAAAGCTAAAAGTAAAGACTAAAGAGTAGTGCTAGCTTACACTCTATGACGCTAGGTGTCACGGTTCCCAGCACTTGTTGGAAACTTACACATGTATTCCTAAAAACTGTTTTCATTCTTTCTTTTGATACTTTTTAAATTGATGTCCGATATTAATATAACACTCATAAGTCACATTAATTTAGACAAAAGTTTTAAAAAATACTTGTCTCCTTTTATGCTTCCACTTATCTTATACACTCTTTTAATAAATCTCAAACAAATTTAAAAGAATTAAAAATGTATTGAAGCATTTTAAACTTTTCTATAATAGATAGATAAATTTATATATGTACCGACGGTGTCTATGTGTCCGTGTCTAGAGTTTGTGTAAGAATTAATGCTTCATAGTTAATACTTTTTGAACACTTACTCTTTGTTGGATGAAATTTTGGTGGGGTCTTACCATTTTATAAATGAGGTACTACTTTGGAATTGGGCCCACATAGTTTATCTGATAAAAGAATGATTCTTGTAACAAGTTTTCAAGTGAATGTTGTCAACACTATTTAAAAGTAAGTGTGAACAGTACTGTGACAGAAAATCCTTTTTGTGCATAGTTGAAGCTATTGCGTGCTGATCTTAGTTGGACTAATGTTCCTGATTTAATTTCATTCTTTCTGCCATTATTTTCTCAATTATAGACTTGAAATCAAGTAATGGGATTGCCTTTCCTACTGTCTTGAAATCAATTATAGACTTGAAATCAACACTTATTGATAATACAATTAGTTATAATTAGTTTATGCCATGAGTTGAGGGATTGCCTTTCCTACTGTCTTAATACACTTGATCTGAATTATATGGTCAGCAATGCAATGACAGAAGGAATGCAGGAATATTCATTTTCTTTTCATAAGCTTCATTCCCGGCCTTTGTTTTCTTGGGTTATGCTTACCTCTTACTCAACATATATCCACGCTTGTTAAAATTCTGTTACACTTGTAATGCTTATAGTACACATTGTTGACATGCTGAAATGTGTTTTACACGACTCAACCTCTGAATATTTTGCGCGACCTTTTGGATGGTCATTATGTTGTTCCTATGCCTGCAGCTATGGCAATTGGAGACACTTCTTTTACAAAAGGACACGTATCTCAATTACTCCCAAGCCCTAAGCTACACAAGCCAAGCTTTGAGCCAGAACCTACAGGGACTTAGAAAGAAAAGTCCTATACGTAGGGTGAGCCGCAGATTTATTTACTATTTGCAAGAGAATTGGAGGAGACTTTGGGTTTTAACATTGTGGGTTTGCATAATGATTGGACTCTTCACATGGAAATTTTTTCAATACAAGCAAAAGGATGCTTTTCATATAATGGGTTACTGTCTTCCTACAGCCAAAGGTGGGGCTGAAACGTTGAAATTCAACATGGCACTTATACTCTTACCCGTCTGCAGAAACACCATAACTTGGCTCAGGTCTACGAAGCTATCTTATGTTGTACCATTTGACGACAACATCAACTTCCATAAGGTACGCATTCATACCACTAAGAAACCTCCAGAGTCGGGGGGAGACTATTCTTTTATGGTGTTTTCAACTATAGTTTGTTTTTTTTTTGTTTTTTTGTTTTTTTTTAATTTATTTATTTTAAATCTTTAATTAAATATCTTCTATATCTGGTCGATTAAATCAACCTTTATCATTATATTACAGTTTATCTTTTGAAGTTTATTTAGTATACAGTCTCTTCTATTAACTATTAAAAAAAAAAGGTAATTTGATCAATGCTATTTTTTTTTTTTTAATTAGCATTAGATGTAACAAAATTATTCCAAAATTACATTTTTTAAAGAGAGCATAGTTAAAAAGAATTTTAATTTTTTTGACAGATAGCAGAAATTTAAATAATAAATTTATGTAAATTCTACAAAGAAGTATATGATTTCGGTTGTTACTTTCTGATTCTTACAGACAATTGCTGGGGCAATCGTAATCGGTGTTATACTTCATGTCGGGGATCACCTTGCTTGTGATTTTCCAAGACTTGCAGGATCGTCTGAAGCTGATTATCAGAAGTATTTGAAGGGTGTATTTGGTCATCACAGACCCAGTTATGGAGACATAGTTAAAGGGGTTGAGGGTATCACTGGGATTTTGATGGTGGTTTTGATGGCAATAGCATTTACACTCGCAACAAAATGGTTCAGGAGGAATCTCATTAAGCTGCCTGAACCATTTAGCAGGCTTACTGGTTTCAATGCCTTCTGGTATTCACACCATCTGTTTGTCATTGTCTATGTCCTGCTCATTGTCCATGGCATAAAACTTTACCTCGTGCGCAAATGGTACTTCAAAACGGTATGTAATTTATAGAATTGGATTTCAATTGTTTAGGATATTTATGAAATACATTGTTTAAGGTGTTTAGTTATTTGACCCCTTGATTTTTTATTTTCAGACATGGATGTATCTTGCTGTTCCGGTTTTACTCTATGCGTCAGAAAGAACACTCAGATTATTTCGCTCTGGCTTTTATACAGTTCGTATCATAAAGGTGAGCATAGGAAGTGAAACTGTTAGTGCTAGGCTCTTAAAATTGGTATCAACTTCATTAATAATATGGGTTCACTTTAATTTCCCTACAATTGATTTGTCTGGGCATATTGTATTTATCCAGTGAGTGGAGTTCTACAAAGTAAAAATTGCAAGGACCCAGACCGCATAAATCACACTTGATTCGCCTTAATTTTATATAAATCAAACTATCCTGTAAATGCACCAACATTAACTTATTTCATTTTCCTTTTTAATTATGGAAAACATTTAGGTTGCTATTTATCCTGGAAATGTTCTCACATTGCAAATGTCTAAGCCTCCTCAATTTCGCTACAAAAGCGGACAATACATGTTTGTACAATGTTCTGCTGTGTCTCCCTTTGAGTGGTAAGTTGCATTTCAATTTAATGGACAATACATTTCATTTTAGTTGAATGCTGAGGTGTTACAGTTTACATCATGCTTCTTACCATATTTGAGGTTTTTATTGAATCAAAATTAATGAGCAGTAAGGAGTCTCGATTCTGTTATGGCATCTTTGCCCAATTTAGTGTCAGTGTCTAAAGTAACATGGAGAAATATATGTATGATGACAGGCATCCGTTTTCTATTACCTCAGCCCCCGGGGATGACTTTCTGAGTGTTCACATTCGTCAACTTGGTGACTGGACTCAGGAGCTTAAAAGGGTATTTTCAGAGGCCTGTGAGCCTCCTGTGTCCGGGAGGAGTGGGCTTCTCAGGGCTGATGAAACAACAAAGAAAAGGTACATGTAGCACTTGCAATATCTTTTGTCTCCAAATTTTTAGTCATCAACTATAAATTTATGCTGATATTTCTGCTGTTTGCTAACTGTTGATAAAGTTTGCCAAAGTTAAAGATAGATGGACCTTACGGGGCACCAGCACAAGACTATAAAAAATATGACGTTTTGCTACTGGTCGGTCTCGGTATAGGAGCAACTCCTTTCATCAGCATCCTGAAAGATCTGCTCAACAACATTATCAAAATGGAGGAGCTGGCGGTGAGCATTACTGATAATATCAACCATGTTAAAACTCATATATAAAAAGTATATGTTATGTAAATATAGCATGACTAAATTAGCAATAAACGTTACTCCCATCCAGGATTCAGTCTCTGATACAAGTAGAGCTTCAGACGTAAGCGTTGGGAGTACTGATTCACCATCTATTAATAAAATTGCTCCAAAAAGGAGGAAAACTCTGAAGACTACCAATGCTTATTTCTACTGGGTTACAAGAGAGCAAGGCTCTTTTGATTGGTTCAAAGGAGTCATGAACGAAGTCGCTGAGCTTGATCAAAGGGTATTAGTTATATTGCTTAAGATTTATTATTTATATTATAGATACTTGCTCCTAAAGAATTAAGTATTCCTTTTCTTTCCTTTAGATGAATAAAGATTACTTGCAATTGGCTAATGTTGATTGTCAAATTATGGACTCCAGGGTGTCATTGAGATGCACAACTACTTGACTAGCGTATACGAGGAAGGAGATGCTAGATCTGCCCTCATCACCATGGTTCAAGCACTTAACCATGCTAAAAATGGAGTTGATATTGTTTCTGGAACTAGGGTAAGCCTTCGATTTCTTAATGCTCTTTATTTTCTATGTTGAGACTCAGGCAGAATGTAAATTATAACCGTTTCTTTGAATTTCTACTTAACAGGTACGGACGCATTTTGCTAGGCCTAATTGGAAGAAGGTTTTCTCTAAAATGTGTTCCAAGCACTATAGTGGACGAATAGGTTAGTCTCCATCGACCATATGTTGGCACTTCATACATGGTGGTATCATATAGACCATTTTCTGTCTTTCTTGCCCTAACATCATGACTGCCTGAATTCATATCAGGGGTATTTTATTGTGGCGCACCAGTTTTGGCCAAAGAACTTAATAAGCTATGCTTTGAGTTCAATGAAAAGGGACCAACAAAATTTGAGTTCCACAAGGAGCATTTCTGAGCATTTCTAACTAATCCGGATGGAGCTGAAACTGATGACCTTATTATATGACTATGTTCAATAAGCTAAAACTATTTTTATAGAATGTGAAGCGTGGTACATACTAGACATCAAAATTGCTTGGCATTTCACCATGTATGTGGCTGCAAAGAAGAAGAGATAACTGCAGCTTATGCACCCTACATTATAGTTACAAATATTCGATACATTGATCTAATTGGAAGCTACATTGAATGATTATTGCAGATAGACTTGCAATGAATTGAAATGAACGGGTACGAGGATAAAGAAAGATTAAAGGAGGTAAGGGAACAAGGTTTTGGATGTTTTTTAAGAGTAACTTTCTTAATTTCCTTTGACTAAATGGAGATGAAAATGGCGACTCACCCGGGAATCTTCGTGTAAAGGAGAGCTGAGTACTTGCTTTTATGATCTTCTCTATATCTCTCAACAGAACCCTGATTTTTTTGTTCGGCTTTTCTACTGAGGAAGGGTCTATATGTGTGTAAATGAGGCTAGTATAGTGTTTTCTTTTTTCTTTTATCAAGGTAACCACTAGCATTATACTTTCATCTTTTGTATCATACACATAATGAATAGATAGTGAAGAATACAAATTAAACAGTTATTAATGTCATCATCAGGTCAAATGTCTACTATAGTACTGTCTGCCACCGAACCCACGGGTAGGAGATATGATATTGTTTTTAGGGAAACCAATATACAGATATGAATATGAAAGAATTAAATTGTTCATTTTAAAGTTAAATATTATAATTAAAAAAATTTAATATTGTATTTGTAGGTATGAATATTTTACTATTTGAAAGTACTCAAGCTTTAAATATGGTTTAATGTAGTACAAATGCGTAATCTCTTCTGCATAATAGAGGGTGGATTTATCAACTAATTTTAAGCATAATGGAGGGTTGATTTGTAAGTTGTCAAGACTATAGTGAAGTTATTAAGAACATGTGGTTGATTATTAAGAAGGCCACACATCAAAAATAAAGTTATAATGAACATTGTACTTCTTTTGATAAAGAAACCATAAGAAAAGAAAGAAAAAAAGAAAAAAAAAACGGGAGAAGAAAATAAGGACAGACTAAAACTAAGGACTTAAGAAGGCTACCCTATAGTTAGAGACGAAAATAAAGCAAATATTGCTTGTAGGTTTAAAATAGTACGAAATGAAATGAAGGGTTCAAAATCTATCTACAGCGATGATATAAAATCTTCTAGTTGACAAGGACGAACTAAAAATAGCAAATGACATTATTAAATATTGAAATATTATTTGATCTTTGTTCTATTTAATTGTAAGTGGATATAAAATCTTCTAGTTGACAAGGACGAACTAAAAATAGCAAATGACATTATTAAATATTGAAATATTATTGGATCTTTGTTCTATTTAATTGTAAGTGGATCCAATGTATTGTTTAATTTGTGAATGTGTGTTAGATTTTCAAACTTCTTTTAAGGAATTCCATTTTAAATCTATGAAACTATTTTAAGGCATTTTAATGATACTTTTAATCAAGGTCTTTTATTTTTGACAAAATACTCTTTTTCGTCCCTTAATTTAAACTCGGGGTTCAGTTTGTTCCCTTATCTTTAAAAAGTGTCAAGTTGGTCCTTTAAGTTTTAAAATGATGTCATTTTAGTCCTCACCGTCAGTTGTCCCCAAACTTTCGTTTATTTTGTATATCTGGCAGATGACCTGACAATTGTGTTCATGATGTTGCTTCCTTCTCCTTCCTCCTTCCGTTCAAATCCCTAAATTAATCTCAATCCCAAATCTCAAATCCCAAATCACAATCCCAAATCCCTAAATTAATCTAGGGTTTTTTTATTTGGCAAACATGAAATCCGGATGTTCCTCCATTTCGAAATCGAAAAGTCGAGATTCAGATGTTTGTAGTAGGTCACGATGGAAGCCAATATGCCATTGTGGAGACATGGCTGTTCTTCAAAGGGCAACTACTGTTAAGAATATGAGAAAACTTTTCTTGGGTTGTCCAAATTATAAGGTATGCAAGCTGGTTTTGTTATCTATTGAAGTTCTGTTTTTGTTTAAGTTATGTTTCTGTTTCTGTCAAAATTATAAGTTATATTTCTGTTTAAGTTTAAATTCATTATCCATCACCCTCTAAACAATGAAACTTACAGGGAGGTATGCAAGCTGGTTGTGCCTTCTTTGGTTGGTTTTATGAGAAGATGGGTGATGAGAAGGACAAATTTTGGATGCATAGGCTGGGTGTGGTAACTAAGGGACTTGCTGAAGCAAAAAAGGACATTGAAAAAGTGACAATGGAGAATGAAGAATTAGGGAAAAAGCTGATGAAACTTGAAAGTGAAATGAAGAATATCATGAAGTGGAAAAAGATTTTGAATTTGATGTTTGTGATGATTATCATTGTATTAGTTGTTAGGAGTAGTTAGGGTATTAAGGTTTGTTTGGAAGTAGTATGTTATGGTTTGTTTGTAAGAATTAAGTTAAGTTTTGGTTGTAAGAATTAGGTTTAAGTTCAGTTAAAGTTTGTATCAGTTTTGGATTGTATCACTTCAACATGAATGTAATAGTTGGATTCTAATATATGGATTCTATCAGTTTAGTTAATTTCACTTTTTGCAGTTCAACATGAATGTATCAGTTTTAGTTTTGGATTGTATTAGTTCCACATGAATATAATAGTTAAAGATAATGTTACCTTGGTATGCATTGATAAATATCATGTCAAAGTGTTTTTAATTTGGTTTGTCAAAGCATAACCAACAGTTAAAGATTATGTTAATTTGGTCTGTCAATGATATATTTGATATGTTATGTTTTTATGTTTACTTAGTCTGTTATAGACCTGTGAAAGTTGGTCTGTTAATTTTATTTGCATTTTTACACCACATTAGACATGATTGTAGTAATATAAAGTTCGTGATAGGTCCATTTCATAATACATAAAGTTCATGACAAGTTCTGTTTTTAGGTTCGTTTCATAGTACCTATAAGTTGGTTATGATTTTAACATAAAGTTCATGACAACAGGATACATAAACAACAACAGCAACAAGATACATAAACTTGTAATACATTCCACAAAATAGACTTGTTCCACAACTGATACACATGTTCCAAAACAACAGTAGAATACATAAACTTGTTCATGACAGTTAGGTTATGCTTTTGACGCAACTGATACACATGTTCCACAACAATAGAATGCATAAACATTGTAATACATTCCACAACTAGAGTTTTCTAGGCAACTGAATACACATGTTCCACAACTAGAGTTTCTTCTTTGGCGTGGTCCTCTTTGTTAGAGTAGACCTCCTTATTACTGGGCCAACAACATTCTTGGCAGCACTCAACCTAGTTGTAGGCCCATATGGCACAAAAGGTCTTGTTGGCTTCCTTACAAACAGCTTTTGTGTCTTGCCCTTAGTAGGTCCACGTGTCTTCTGAGCAACCTTTCTCTTAGAAGTTTGAGATGCTTGGCTAGATTGTTGAGTAAAAGTTCTCTTAGCAGTGTGTGTTGCTTTGTTCTGAGAGGGTTGGCTTGGTTTGAGTAGGCTGAGTTGTTGAAGTAGAAGTGTGTTGGCTAGGTTACTGAGCAGTCTGAGTTGGAGTATAAGGGGTTGGGCTAATTATTGGCTAGGTTATTGAGTAATCTGAGTTATTGTGTCCTTACATGTAGACTTGTAATGTCCTGCTTTCTTACACCTACTACACTTCACCAGAAAACCTGTTCTTCTCAATTTGCGAGCAAACCCATCAATTTCACCTTGTTCTAGGTTCCTCCTCTTTTTAGGTCTACCAGACATCTTCCTGAACTTGGGTGGTTGCACATCTGGATATGGTGTCTTAACCCACAAGTTTTCTCCATTAACAGGGTAGATCACATGCTTATAAATGGTCTTGTACCTTGAAATCCTATAATAATCTGGAATATAAGTATCAATTTTAAAATTCCTACTCTTCATAGCTGAATGAGCATGAACACATGGGAGTCCTGTGAGTTCCCATCTTCTACATGAACATATCTGATCTTTCAGGTTCACAACAAACTTGTCAGCTTGATTTTCTAGGTGTCTTACTTCAAATATATGTTCATCAGACATCCTAAATGATTAAACAAACAAAATACATTAGTCACATGTATCTCATAGACATCCTAAAGAATTAATGTATGTCGTGACATACCTTTCTAGCCAGTTGTTGGTGTATGTGCTTGTGACATCAAGTTTCTTTCTAATATTGGGCAAATATCATTCTCATCCAAAGTTCCAAATCTTATTCTGTTATTTGCCCATCTCTCCATGATGTATGTTCTGATGTCTTCTAACATAGTGATTAGAGGTTTTGCCCTTACTTCAAGAATGACACTATTAAAGGACTCAGACATGTTGTTGAGAACAACATCACATTTGTTTTCAGTCCTAAAGTAAGATCTACTCCAAAACCTTGGTGGGGTCTTCATCATATGTTTAAATGCTTCTTCGTTGATTACTCTCATTCCCTTCATCTCTCTTTCTCATGCCTGTGGGTATGTTGACTTGGCAGCCTTCCATAACATGTCCTTCAACATCTTTCCAGGAAACGTTTTCCTAAAATTGTTATAGAGGTGCCTAACACAAAACATGTGCTCCACCCTTGGCAATTGGTCATCTATAGTAGGTAGCAGACCCTGCAATAACATACAATATAGCATTACAATATAGCATAACAGAAATAGCATAACATAAAGACATAAAACCATAAGAATAAATGAAAAACTTGCCTTTTGTTGGTTTGAGATGAAGGTGTAAGTCAGACATTCATCTTTGCCTCCAAGGTCATCAATTAACAGCTCTAAAAACCAAGTTCAGCTATCCTTGTTTTCACTCTCCACAACTGCATATGCTATGGGAAGCATCTGATCATTAGGATCCCTCCCAATGATAGCTAGAATCTTCCCTCCACACAACCCCTTAAGAAAACACCCATCTAGACCTATTGC